CGGAGCTGCTCGCGCGAATAAAGGTGCCGCTCCGGAGACGAATCGCAAGGCGTAGGGCTCCTGGAATTCCGTCGAGTTATACAAGTGCTTGCTTTCCAAATTAATCTTTTTACGTTTTTGTGTGTTCCTTTCCCATGTAATTCCTGACATTTCAGCCGATGAAGAGCCATTCAGTAAATTTGCGTATGTTCTATCTCTTGAAAATACGTTTTTCATGCCTTTTTGGGCAATAGCTGTTCAAATTCAGTTTTGTGTTTCAACGATTCCATTCAATGCGCTATTTAATTTGTCGTAAGAATCTGAAACAAGTATGAGCCGGTAAAGGGGAACCGTAGTTAGGGAATCTTTTGGACAGCGGGGGTGTCGTCATATGTGGCGAGATGAATACCAGTGATATAGGCTTTAACGTTGAGAATATTAATCGAGGTAGCAATATGATCGACTCAGGTAGTTTGTCCATTGGTAAGGCTTCCTGAGGCCTTCTGAGTGTATTCGTTCCTACAATTAGATGACAAAAAAATGTTATCCTGTAATTGAATTCAACTATCTTCATAGTTTTCTTGCGTGAAAAAGTATTTTTTACAATAACTATATTGTAAAGTAATACGTGTAGTTTGAACTGCATGCACTGAAAAAGGTAAGAATGCATGATTTCGTTGCCACAGATCAATAATAGAAATATTTTTAATAGTCACAGCGATCCTCTCGAAAGGAACGTCGAATACAGTACATGTGTTTCACTTTTTTATTCTGCCATTAGAAAGTAAGCTATTTCTGCTGCCGTTGAACGTAAAGTCTTCTCAAATATAGTGTACTGAGAGGAGATATTAATTTACAAGACAAAGTTGGACAAAGAAAAGTTCAGATAACCAAGATGTTGACACACAGTAAATATTTTTTTTTTTTTTAGTTGAGAATTTTTTTCGTTCAAATACTTTGCTTTTACTTTCCCTTTTATCTACATGTGTTTATCATTTTTAATTTCATCGTTTAAAAATAATGGATTAATTCAATACATATTTTAGTACCGAATATCATGTCTATAATCCAAAACCTAAAGCCCAGATAAAAGACAACGACGAACGCGTAATGTTATGCAAGTAACTAAACATGGTATGGAGAACTCATTCCAAAGTGTGTTCCTCCGAAAGCAACGTCTTGCATCTTCGTACTTGACAAAACGGATCGTAAAACCATGACGGGCTTCTTCTCCTTCCCTTCTTTTTTTTAACTTTTTGATATTAACTATTTTGTGAGTTTTTTTTACATTATAGTAATATAAGGTAATACAGACCAATTGTTGCCCTTAATTATTAACAACAACCCTCTTTTTAATGAAAGTTCGATATTTTTACATCAACTTTTCAGGTTTTCACGTGAGATTCGAAAATACAGGCATATTTTGTAAAAAAGTTTGAAATGAAAGAATGAACGACAATAAAAAGATTCAAAAAGTGAAAGTTTTCGGTTAGTTGTATAAAGTAAACCTCAGAACTCGTACAGAACAGTACTCGATCAGAAAAGAGAACTTTTTTTACACTCTGTCATTCGAACAATTTCTGTAATGCTAAAATACATTGAGTATATCCATTAGTGCAAGAATTGAAAATATTTCATTTTGTAGTGTTCCTTTATGATGTATTTCTCGCCTTCAAAATGAATGTACTGTGTATTTTGCGATTTTTAGTGCCATAATAATATTGAAAATCTCTCTTGTCAGCTTATAAGAAAACTACTTGCATTTTAGATTTCGCAGTATTCGAATATTAGTTGTATATTACTACTACTATAATATGACTACTGTACAGTTCAGAAATACGAGATGAAAGATGTGAAGAAAAAAGTTTTCGATGTTCATCTAAATTGTACTCTCTCTGAATCACGAAAATTTCTTTTGAGAAACATTTACCCCTTTATATCATTCATTTCAACTAGTTTTCTAGTTTCTTTTAACAAGGAACTCGGACGAATGCAATAAGCGTTGGCATCAAATGATTTCATCACAAAAGACGCGTTTGTCTTCTCAGTTCAGCTTCGCCTGTTCAGAATCAGTTACAAGTACAAACTTAAAGAAATTTACAATTCAGAATTGTTATATAAGTTTTATTTTTTGCCTCGGTAAACGATTATCAGTGACCAGTTGTTACTGTTCGCGTTTCGACATGATATTTGCACATCTCAGAAATTTACGCCAAAGTAATTGAGAATACATTAAAAACTTAAGATTGACTGAAAACACATTTTGTATTTCTTCCTTCCTTTTACTTTTTCCCATTATTTTCTGAAATCTCGTGAACAATGCAATCTTCCTTGAAGAGCCTAGTAGTACTATCTCTGTCTCTAGTATTCTGCACGAAACACTTTTTGGAATGAATTAATAGTTGGTACCACAAAAATAATTCAGCATCAGAAAGAAATCGAGACTTATTAATAGAGCACCTTCGGCTTCTTGTAATAAACGATAATGCTTTGAATGACCAGTTTTATTCAGCTCAGTATGTCTCAGCCGTCAGCTCAGTCATGGGCAATATCTGGAGTATCAAAATGTTTGTAATAATGGTTTACAGAATATTGTGATATTAAACTCTCAAATTCTTCAGCCAAATTTAACCCGTGTGAATTCACGAATTCCTTTATCTCCAGTCAAAACCAACCGCGCAAGTGGCCCATGCAGTCCGAACGAACGCCGACTTTGACACAAGTAATGCGAGACTTTAGTTTAGGCATGAAATTCCTCCGATGAGTGTCAACTGAAGCCGTCCGTTTTATGAAATTTACAGATACACACAAAACTAGAAAACAAGTGGTGCTCCACCTGTACATATTTTGTCGCATTATTTGAACTTCTGTACTTTTTGAACCTTCTCAGAGTTCCGCATAAGTCGCACCTGTCCCATTATTTAAACTACTTCGTTCGCACTATCCCCCAAAAAATAAAGAGAAAATTTTTGGACAAAATATTGGTTTTAAAATTGCTTTTATTTCATGCAAAATTACGTGAAAACTTCTCATATTTTGAAAAAAATTGAAGTACATGATCTTATTTATAGATCTATTTTTGAGAATTGATATTAATAGGGAAAATATCTTGCAATCTTTTAGATGTAGAAAGACGACGAAAAAATGTCAACTTCTGCAGTTTTCAAAAATTTAGAGAATTCAAAGAATATCGGTTCTGGAAAGTTTTTACAGGCGTACTTTTTACTCTGTACGAGGGAAAATGTAAAAAAAAAATTTTTGCCATTTTTGAGAAATTTTTGAAAATGTCATTTAATTTTTATATAAAGTATCCTCCAAAATTTAAAAAAATAATAGTTTTAAATTCATATCACTGCGGCGTAAACCAAGATCGATCGGGGATTATCAATTTTGATAAAAATCCTGCTTGCGGTTTAACGCTACGGTTAACAGACGAATGTGCATTCCGTTTGGCAGAGACATTTTACCGTAAATCAATTTTTCGGGAACAGGGACCCTCAAAACTTGTAATATGAGTACGCAATGTATTAGAGGAAGTTATTTATTATATATATAGAAGGGAAATTGTCCTTTGTTCCATATCAAGGACCCAATATACATGTTTTTCTGTCGAAAATTGGCCGTTTTCTGCTCCAGCATTACAATACCTTCTTTATAGTACGTAAGCAGTACGCGAGAAAGTAAAAATTAATTACTTAATTCTTTAATACAATTATTTTGACTATTCAACTCGTTAAATTAAATCCCATAGTGTTTAACTATACTTACACCGCCCTGATTAGGGCATTTTGTATCTCAAAAAGTTAATCGCTTTTTCTATCCCATTTTTCTTTCCGCTTCTACTCGTACCTACTGGCCAACCATAAACTGTGACTCCTCTATCTTAGAAGGCGTTGTACATCGATCGCTATGTCGATGTCCAAGAAACAGTATATGTACTATAATATAACCTCTTGATTTCAACGTACGCTTTCAGTTATTTTCAATATTTGGCGCATTTTGAAACTCTGTTGCACATAATTGGACTCTGTTGGACATAACTCGTGAAATAGTCCTATTATATACCACTCATGCTTCGGAAATTCTCAGATTAATTCCAAAGCTCTCGTGGTATTATCTATGATAATCTTATTAGCCGTTTGTGGATCCCCTTTTAAACTTTCCGCATCACTATTTCATTGACAAGTTATTGCGAAAACATGGATGTACACCTTTTCGAAGTAACACTCCTCGTCATAAGGATTACTTCGTGTTACTTGCCCTCTGCTTTCTTGTGCAAACATTTGGCTGTTTGCGTCCGCATGTTGCCACTGGAGTCCGCTAGGCGGCAGCACTGACTTGCTGCCCATCAATTCCAGTGCGCTGTCAACAGAAAACTGTCCCGAACCCTTATCTACCTAGAGTGCCCGTATGGACACTTTAGAAATTCATATTGTTTTTCATTACATTCTTAAGTGCGACACCAAGTGCATTTCAAAATTTTGAGGGGGAAAAATAGTTAATTCTGTTGTTTTTTTTAATTATACAATGATGTAATGCAATTTAAAAAAATAATTCAACCAGATAAGGATTAAATCGCTAGACTTCCATTCAATTTGCTATACTTCCATTCGATTTTAAATATATGTGTTAAAGGGAAGCAATATTGAAGTACTGACGCTTAACATATATGAAACTCACCACCATTCAAGAGAATTGAGTACGAACCTCAACATGTCTTCGGTTTCTTTGCGGTTTGCCTGCTTAGACACACCCTTATTAATAAAACGACGACCAATAAGCACAACTTCTCATGATTATTCGTAAGGTCTGATAGTTCCTAAGTTTTTACACTCTTTCAGGATGAATTCAAGTGGTGTAGCACTATCCAATTGTACTTCAGTCAAAAACATCAGATGAAACAAATACGCACAGGTTTGCAAGATACTGAACTATATGTTAGCACGTTTATTTACAGATCATTAACGCGATTTCAAAAGATTATGTAAATGAAATATAATGTAAAACAGAAAAGATGACGTGCAATTTGGCGGATACTTCGATTCGTTTATGCAAGCGATATCTTTTCGTTTGTTTCGCACGTAACAATTCTATACAATGAGTGTCATCTGTTTCTTTCAATTCTCAGTATTAATGGATTTTCGTTTTGTCTTCCCATACACATCAAGTCATTTAAAGAGGTTACCCACAAAAATCGGTCATCGCACGCCCCTGATGGCCATAATTATCTCATACTTTCAAAGGCCCGAAGTTTTTATCAAAATTTACCAAGCATGCTTCCCCTTAATTCAACCAAGAGTGCTAAACGAGAGGGATAAAGATTGAAGAGCACAAGAAAAAGTGTACTTCTCTCCAATACTTCACATAGTTTTTTTTTTAAATATCTCTCACGCCATTAATATGTGTAGTACTAGCGATTTATTGCATTTGTGAGTAGAAATGCTTCAGCTGATTTGAATTTTTCAAAACTTGAAAGTTTTCTGTGAAAAATATTTTCAAAATTCTCATTTGCAGAAACGCTTAAACGACATTTTATCAAAAACGGCTTCAATTTTTTTTGTTTTTCTTTCTTAAAATAAATTAATTAAAAAAAACCATCGGTTTGCGTTGCTCCCTAGCGGCACATGCTCTGTGCTACGCGCGGTCCTTGCGGCTTCTCCTCCGCGCAGCGAGAAGCCGCCTGACGGCACGACAGTTTCACAGACGATGTGGAAATTGGGCAGCGGGCGAAGCCAGTTAGGCCCCCGACGTTACGGGAGGGGCGGGGGCGGCGCGCATTCGGGGCAAAAGCAGTAGATTTTGACGTTTCTTATTTACCGACAATAAATAATGACGTGGAATCGGCCCGAAACAAGCGCTGCCTTCCCGATATGGGTTTAGCGGGCAGGCGGCCCCGCCCCCGCGCGCGCCTAATGACGGGTTCCGCGCCCGCCCGACCGCCCGACCGCCAGCCCAGCCACTTGGGTGGCGGCGCGGCGCGGCATTGAGGTAGGGCCAAGGTGCTGGTATGGTACGGATGACTACCGCCAACGGGTGCCTCCGCGGCCCTAGTACAAAAGAGATTTTTTTGAGGACCTGCAGTTCGAGTGTCTTACGCGGAATTTTTGTATTTACAACGCACCAGTAACGTAACGAAGTGAACGCGATCCCGCCCGCAAACCTTTTATCCGGGTCCCATTTTTAAAAGTGTATAGCAAATACAAGTAGTGTTAGTACCTTAAATAATAAAAATATCCTTCAAAAATCCCTCTTCGCAAAATCTTCAGCCGAGTAATAGGCCCTCTTTTACCGGGACCCGCCATGCCGGCCCGAAAGTTACACCACTGCAATGGATGGAGATATTTTCTCGTAATTTTCCCGGCAATCTTTCACAAACGTTTTTACCACGCCCGTATTCTCAATGGAATTCGAAAAACTCAAACTCAAATTTAACATAACATATTTCATTCGTTTCTAAAGGCAAATTAATGTAGTACTTTAATTATTACTTTACTATCCAACCCATTATTACTTTCTCGGCTTCCAACTTCATCTAAATTCTATTTCACTCCTTCGCCAGAAAGGTACTTGCAACTACTGCAGGATGCACGCGTGGTCCGAGTTGGCCTATATGCGGATAAAAAACATACAAACTACAATATTAAAGATGGAGATTTTTCGTAGTGAAGTATGATCTTCAAAATCAGCTCTTTAAATCGGGAAATATTCAATTTTTCAAAATCGGTTGCGCTTGTTTGTGCTCAGAGGTAAGATTGTGCAGTCCAGTGTAATTTGAAGACGCATTTGTGTTTTGCTGTGTTTCCCCTACACTTCTGAATTGGCACCACATTTTCAGGGTGATAGGAACTGTGATCGCAGTGACCATAGCAAGGTCGGCGGACAGGCAGTAAATGGCGAGGAGAGCGGGAAGGAGCAGTATGGATTTGGGCAGTTCGGCGTAAGGCTGGGCAAGCCTGGGCGAGGATACCCCGTTGGCAGAATTTTTTTCATTTTCCTCTCTGATTAGATGAATGTTATAAACAAATACCCAGCCAAGTAAAATTGAATTCGTCTTCAAACTCCCCGTGCGATTTAGTCGCATGTGATTTTTTAATTAGGTCATTAGCGACCACTATAGATTAACAATAGGGTTAACAGTGTTATGTTATATGGTAATGGTGAGGGGCGAAAGGACGAACACAAATACAATCATGGCCGAGTCGGAACTCGAACCCGCGATCCTACAGTCCGAGATCCCTACGGCACTAGTGCCTTAACGAACTCGGCCATCCGGACGACTAATCAAATTTTATTTGCACCTTAGAAGCATCTTCTCTCTCCGTGAAGATGATATTGTGTAGTAAGTGTCTCCCACTCTTTTGGTTCTAAGGGAATCAAAAATGTAGTTGTTCACGATTCATGATTTAACTTTCAAGTAAAACAAGGTGCTCATTTCTTTCAAGTAAAACAAGGGCAGTTCGTCGTAAGTCTGCGCAAGGGCGATGATACATCATAGGCAGAATTATTTCATTTCCCTCTCTGAATATATGAATGTTATAAATAAATACCCAGGCAAGTAAAATTTAATTCGGCTTAAAATCGCATAGCTTTCCATTAGTTTAATTTTATTCGGACCTATGTTTTGACATAGTTTAGCAACGCCTTCGAATTTATCTCTCTCGCTGACTCTGCATTTACTACAGAAAAAATAATTGTAAAGGACTTTTTAAATAGCCAACATCTATCAAATAGGCGATGAAACAACGTTCCCCATTTCCGGAAGAGAGTAGCGGGAACCAAATATTTTGACTTTCCGTGTTCACCTCTCGCAGACCAAATGACATCAATTTTACTTTGCATGGCTTATTTTAGATTTCAAATTTTTCTCGAAATAATTGCATTGCGGAAATTCCTGAAATACGATAACGAAGTTTGAGCTTCTCAACAAGATGCCATTGTGATATGTTACGACCTTTTTAGATTGCTAATGGACTGTTAAGTGTTGTGTAGTGTAAAGTACTGCGGTCCCCCTTTTGGTGGCTTTTATCAATTTTCGAAATAAATGTGAGAGTAAAACAATCAGTGTTAGTGCAGTTTATTACATTAATGTTTGATTTTAATTGTTGGTCAAAACCAATGCGAATTTTTGCGTATAGAGTCATTCCAAGCCAAATCGCACACTCGCAATACATCACTATTTTTTAGCGACTTGAAACTTTTTTAAGAGGTCTAGGGTTGAAAAGAGATGACTTTTTTTATTTTTTTTCTAATCCCACCCATTTCAGAAATATTACCAATATGTTTTCGAAAAATCATGTGTGCGCTAATGTTCGATTTTTTTGTAAAAATACCGTTTCCTTTAGAAAAATAAAATTACACTTAAATTTAACTAAAAAAGATGTAATTTCATGTGAAGTAAAAATAATTTTTGCAAACATTATTTAAATATTTAAAATACATTTTACTTTTAAAATGTTTAAGTTTTTACATTAGATCGACATTTAAATTATTTGTAAAAATATTCGTGTATAGATCTAATGTATAGATCTGCCAAATTCAAAGTGGGACACACAGAAATAACGTTAAAAAAATAGTTTGTTCACCGGAGCGCCTAGACAGCCTGCTACCCGCCGGAATCGCTGCTTGAACTATGGGGCTTCAATGACACGTCGCGTCGTGAGGTTCGTCAGAAAGCAATCGTGAGACATGACATGATATGAATCGCGAAAGTACACATACGGTCTCAAATGGAAGTATTTTGACGAAATGCGACTATTAAGTTTAATTATTAACAACTGGCATTGCTAGGATCTGCCTGAAACAGAGCATCTTTCTTTATCAGATATTCTCAGTAAGTTGTATAAACAGAGGAATTCGCGAAACGTGTGCGTTGCTCTTGCAATAATATCAATTGTATTGTTATTTGCATTTTCTTAATATGAAAATCTATAATTGCAAAAGAAGAGTACCTTTAGGTTTTTACAACCAGCAGAGAAGTTTAAAATTGACTGGTTGCCGTGAAAAAAGGTATGTGTATTGGAAAAACTGGTTTTCAAAATTCCTTCTCGTGACGAGTGAAATGACGTTCTTTCAAAGAAGTGAGAATCGACCATACTCAATGCCGCAAATATATTGGGCAATGACAATTATGAATAAACGTGCACCGCTGGTTCTGGTCACCGTAACGTATACAGCGATTTTTATAAGAATGAGCCAAGGTGACAGTTCGCTAAACAAGTAAACATCACGTGTAATGCAGAGAAGAATTCCTCCGCCGCGGCAAATGTTCAGACACGCCCCTTCATAGTATTTACGGCTTCCGTGAAGACATCACTATACAGAAATCTAAGAGTTTCGCTGAAGTACATTCACGTACGCGAGTCTAGAAAATGTTGAAACTTAATTACGTATGTGGAAAACTGAACATTCTCTCATATTCAGTAAAAGAAAACTGCCACGAATGTAAATAGAAAGAAAAATCATTTTTCAGGGTACGTTTAAATACTTTTTCTGGTCATTTCACAGCGAATGGCTCATGCATTTTTGTAGTGAAAAGGACACATTATTTTTAATTATAACACCCCGACTATCAATATTTAGTACTGTGCTCTCTTAACTTAAATGTGACTTAATAATAGTTTTGTCACTAATGTTCTGCAAGTTATGCATTCCTTAATCGTGAACAAGTAGGATGCCCTTTGCGCCCACTCTGGCTTTTCATGGTTCACAATTTTATAAAAAAATATATAAGAACCAAACCAAGAAACCACGAAACGCTCTCAAACACAGCTCTCCACCTTATAATACAGGAGCCGGAATCACATGCACCGCCACCGACACGTATTTCACATTGAAGACTCGATTTTAAAATAAACATAATATTTATCACACCAAAACTAAACTTGATGTAATGTTTATAAAAAAAGAATTTTTACAAAAGAGCACATAGCACTGCACTTTCTAATTTCAATTAGTTCTCTTGGCGAACTACATTTTCGTCGGACGAAGACATCACGAAAGGAAGCGTCGAAGCCATTTACAAATTAGCCAACTTCAAACGAACGAATGGGGGAAGGAGAGTCTAAAAGGCTCAAGGACACAACGACCGCAGAACCTTCAGTTGTGTTGCCAGCTGTCAAAACTTCCAATTCTTATAAAAATCGCTCTTTATCACCGGATACAAGTTATAAAGAAATTGACCGAGTAAGTTCGTCTTCTGTTTCTTCTGCTGTCTTTGCCCATCGTTTGCATTCTTTTGCTCTCTTCATGAGACAAAAATAAAATTTGGCGCTAAGAGTTTTCATTGTCCAAAGTGATTTAAAAAAAATTCTCTCTTACTCGATGCTATTCTGAGACTTGTATGAATTAATGTATTAGCTAATATACGTCCTTTTGTACTATATTTCAGAGAAAGTAAAAAAATGTTTTAAACATGTTTTTTCTGGATGCCGGGAACTCGACACGGATTTAATACACCCATTTTTTACACGGCAGTGTAAACTCAAAACACTTCTTAAATACAATTATGACTGTGTTAACAGACACATGTTTTCAGATGGGATCAGTGCCTAGTATTACAAAACAATGCGAGTTTATGCTTCCACAAAGATGCCTTCAATGTGAGTGCTGAATGGCTTTGCAACATCTTATGACAAGAGACCTTGCGACATAGGGAGGGGGGCGACAATTATATTCCCGATAAAAGCTAGCCTTAGTCCTGTCAGGAACCTATTGATTTACCCAGAAAGTTAAATGTGGGGTGATGATAATGTGAAGAACATTACTTTTATATTTTTGGCAACGCTAAACAATTCTTAGAAAGAGGACTATTGCAACAATAATATACTAAAAATACAGTCGCGGGGTCAAAGAAAGTACATAGTATCATTTCTTTATGAAAAGGTGAATTAACAATATTCACTGTAAAGTGAAGTACAAGAAATATCATCGTAATTAACTGTATCACATACTCTTATTCGTATAAATATTTCGCCCCTTTAATACTAAATTGAATCCGTTTGATACTTTTTAATTTGAACTTAATAGGCTATGAAGGTAATATGTATGAATATGGCACACAGTAAGAAGTGAAGGGATGCTTCTGTTTATTGCTCTGCGAAAGTATGTTGATGGTAATCGTCTGCTGCTGATTGGCAAGTGCTTGAGGGGTGATGCTCTCGGATACGTAGCGGCAAAACAGCAAGTAGAATTTTCTGTTGTATTTAATTTCTCACAATTATCTCAATGAAAATCCTTTCGAGCAAAAAAAAAATTCAGATTTTTGAAAAGCACATAAGTAGGTTATAGAGAAAATTCTGGTTATAGAGAAAATTTGTTTTGTTGAAATGGCTGTACCAACTTAACGGACGTAATCCGACCTCTTCGTGCTGTATTCCATTACTCAGTTCTAAGCTCTCCAGTCAATGCTGAATAGTCGGAGAATCTCCGCTGATCCCAGTCATACTTGGTGAATTGACTGAACTTGTGAATAAAACGGTGCATTTTTTTGGTGTGCGTCCTGATTCTTTAGTGCTTCTTTTGGGTTAGTTTGTGTTCTTAGCTTTTTGTTGTCATACACAATGAAGGAACGATATTATCGTAGACTTGGTTTACTTCAAAAATTATTTTTTTACGTTCATTTGAAGAAAAGTCTTTGATTGACTGAAAACTTCTGCGTCGTCGTGAAACGTAGAACTTTTCTGAGAAATTGTTTGGTCACTTGCAAACAAATATTTTTGAATTCACTTCAATTCAGTGATGCCTTATTTTACATAGCAAGACTCAAACTATCAGACATACACTTCGGCCTGACCGCGCAAACTGGGAATTAAAACTGAATCACTGGGATTTACAAGTAAAAACTCTCTTATTGTTTTTATAAGAATCACAAAATGTCAAGACAAATCCTAATAAAAAATGGTAAAATGTTGACTACGTATTTAAGAAATTGTTCCGCTTAGTTAACTTAAAATACATGATACCAGCTCCAATAGCATCCTTAAAAAAAAGAGTTTTTCTGCCATAAAAACGACACATAATTGTAAAAGATAACCACAAGATGAGCGAATGTTCAGCATGTCTCTTGTATTACATGATAATTGTTTTAAGAAAATTGTTGCGTCTATACAGATACGCGTGTCCTAGCTCCTTAAAGAGCGTTGAGCGCACTGTAAAGTAATTCTCCGTTAACATTTACATTATTTTTAAAAATTGTAAGCGCCCTCTAGGGAGTAGCTGTAACATCAGAGACAGTCAAGTCGGGGAAACTCCGACAGGTAGCGTCTTCGCGCTCGCGTCTTGCACGCACCCTCCGTCATCTGCCCATCGGCCAGTATTGGGATGGAATAAGGATTGGGGTGAAGTTTTGGACGCTTCATAGAGGTTGGATTAGCCCTTGTGAAACAGGCAAACTTGTTTTGTCGTAACCTTTGTTGCTTTAAATGATGCCTTATAAAATGTTTACGCAAACTCAAAATATTTGTGTGAAAACGAGCTCAAATTACGGCATTTTCAGAAACCCTCAAACGCCATTTTTGTCAAAAATTCTTCAAGTTTTCGAACGGATAGTGTTAATTGCACTGTTTAAGATAACATGAAATTCATTTTGCTGCACTATGTTTGTTTTATAAAAAGTACACAAATGTTTTTGTTTTTTTTAATAACGCCGTGATGCACATTTTTCGCGGTTTGTACACATCACTTTTTTTTGAGTTTTCGAAAAACTTTTTATTCATTTTATTTATGTCAAAAATTGTTAGAAACTGTGTATGACATGCTATGGGGAGAAGTTAATTTGAAGATACATTTATGTCCAGAGCAAAACAAGGGACCATCTCAGCATTTGCTCGAGAATCAGGGAAACTGGACGAAAATCTGATCGAGATGGGGGTCATTGACTCAGAAGCTGAAGTACAATACTTGTATCTTTACAATTACAAAAGGCATAAAATACATTAAATGTCATTGGTAAAATTAATATTACTTTCCTTTTGGACGTTCGATATAGTCTCTAATTGTATAGAAACAGTTGTGCAGCAGAAAAAAATTTTACTTGGGACTTAAACTTTTGTATCGAATTTAATCGCTTAATGTCATCTGGCAATATGTTGTAAAATAATGTACATGTATAGGTGAATTTTTTGTAGTGAGCGGTTGATACTGTCACCTAACGAATATGATTACTACATCGAGTGTTGTAGTTATAGACAACGGTGTGTGCTGAAAATATATTCCCACCCTTAAGCAAGTCATTTTTGACAAAACACACTGATTCATATATGATATACAATTGGTTTTTGTAATCTAAAAGTCTAGGAACTTCATTTGATTTCTGTGAAAAAGCTTCAAATTTCGCATTTACAGTAAAGCGTATACGTCATTTTATTAAAAACAGCTCCAAGTTTTCAAATAAATTTTTTCAAACAAAAAAATATTTTTTACTATTCATTGTGTATTTCAACAGCGTTATAAACCACATTCCAAGGTTCTTTGCTTTCTTACTTTCCCAATCATAAAGCCAGAGGCATAATGTTTGTGCCCAATTTTACGCTCGAGGTTTTGTTATAGTAAGAAATATTAATTACTTGATACTGTACAATAGTTGATACAATAAAAGACTTCCAGAAGAATGATTATTTTCCACTTCAGTAGCTTATAAATCTGTTTATAAATCAATTCAGGCGATCAAGGCAAGCAATTCAGTCTAAATTTCATACAAATAATGAAGGCAGATTTTCCCACCATTGGTTAATAATCATAGACTGATGAATTTTAATTTCTTGAAGGATATTTAAGGAACTAACACAACTTGTGTTTGCTTTACACTTTTATAAAAGGAGCCTGGATGAAAGTTTTGCGGGCGGGCTTGGTCTCATTTCGTTGCGCATTTGCATACAGCAGTTGTCAAAAGTTTGCATACTTTTTTCCTTCGAATTTTACAAAGTAGAAAATTCAACATTGCTGCTGATTATTTTTTCTTTAACAACAATTTTCTTTAAAAACAATAGTAATAACAATAATAATAATATTGAAAAAAAAAGTTAGGTAGGTCTTGGGATGTGGAAAATATCTAGCAGATACTGAAATGTTATGAAAGGGTATTGAAACAAATTTGCTTATGTGGTTAATTGTTTACATTCCACTGTACCAAACAAGTGTACAAAACAGCACTACCATTGTTCAAATACAATGCCTGTTCACACATGGAAACCACAATAATGAAGAAAATAACATTTTTCTTTCAAGGCATTTTTTAAAAGCAAAGTATTTAAAGAGTGCCAAACAACAGATCTTACTCAACTGTTTTTGACACAGATGTTTGACAATACTCTTTTTTTCCCCTTGATATGTCAGTATGGCACACACAATTATGGCCAACGGCAAGTAGAATAAGTCAAGTCTTCCTCTCAAACAATACAAAGACTGCCCATATAACCCGAATGGAAGAAGCAAAGTGCACTAAGGAGCACTCATTTCAATGAGAGAAAATTAAATATTTCACAACATATGTGCTTAAAAATAACTTACTAAAATAATTTTGAACAGCAAATCTTTTCCATTCACACATACGTGTACTCACAGTACATAAAATATACCATATATACGCATACACAATTATATACAAGTATATACAAAATGATAATCATTAAACAGTTCATGACTAGTTTATAACTTCATATAAGGTTCTAAGAAACCATTACTAGATGCTAGTGTAGCACTTAATACACGAACTTAATGTATTTCTTGGCAATGAGTAATATATAATTTTTACCCACCAATAATAGTACAAAAATGACTTCACAGAAACATGTACTAAACCATTTTGATGTCTGTTACAGTACTATAATCAATTCCCATGCAACTAAATGGTTCTTTGCTTCTTCCAGGCCATTGTATGCATGTTATGATATATACAGAAACAATTACAGGTAAACATGATCACTCAAATGCATATTGAAATACAAACGAAGTGCAATTTGTGTTGTATTTTGATGGACTAAAATTAGAAACTTCCCATTATCAACAAAACTAAATGTTAAGCACTAAGTGTTTTGATTAAATACCAGCTGCTCACTGGAAGTTGCCTTCATCAATATTGAACATTTACGTGTACAAGTATCAGCAGTACATCAAAAAACACATAACTTCCTCACTTCACTCTATATTTAACACACACAAAAAATGATGAACAGTCAAAGATACAGATTAATCAGACCCACCAATCACAACCATCAAACAAAATTAGTAAATTAACTAGATAATACACACCTGGTACAAGCAAATGCATTACCACAATTTCAGGACATTACATTGGAACTAACAATACATTTTGATGAACATTTTACCAAAACAGTAATGATTGGTAAAGCTTGTCATACTGGTTTACAAGATAGCAAATATTAGTTGTTATTAAACCAGTTGGTAATCAACCTCCCAAACACACACACGTTTATGTATATATATATGGCACACATGTTAAAAATATTTATACACAATGATAAATGTCTCACAAAACAAAGTAATACTTTCCCTTCACAAGAATGTGCAAACACAATCTTTCTCTCCCATGAAGAGAAAAAGTTGCTATTAGGAATTTAATTGCACACACACACAAATGCAGGCACTAACAGCCATTCTATTCAGAATTCACAATCAGCATCAAAAAAAATCAGGAGTTTCCACAAGAATGCAGACTTTAAAAATCTTTCAGACCGGTTTGTCACCGCATCAATCTTGGTAAGTAGACAAATTAAAGAGATAGACCCAATTTTGTGAATTGCAAGTAACTGTTGTTTTACAAAAATAATGACTAGTTTTTTCCTAATGACGAACGTCTTCTAACATACTATCCAGATCATTAGTGTGGAATTCAATGCTTTTATCAACAGAGGATTAAAAATATGAATTGAGATCAAATAGAAGCATGTTTTAAGACGCTAGACATTCTCTTCTCTCATCTGTAATTTGTTTCCCTGGACATTTTAATTTCAGTCTCAGTCAAATATACAAGCTCTTCCTCATTTCTATAGGGTCATATCATAGTCACACATAGTGACATTTTTGTCACATTAAAAGTGTGCATTCTTTAGGAATCATTCTTTTCTATCTTCAAATGGCAATCACAGCATGTACTTAATCCAAGAGCTCAACAACAATTTGTCAAACTGTTTGTATAATAATATATTGTACTGTAATTTATTTTCAAGGAATGTATTTTGCACCCTACATGTATCTTTAACAATTCAAAAGATATTTAATGGATGGATGGATGGACTTTTGAGCAAAATTGCAGCAGGAAGTAATTGTTCATTTACAGTGTACATAAAATCATTGTAGTTTAAAATACTGGGGCAGGTGCAATTATAAGCACATTAATTTACAGCAATTTACATTATTTTCAATATTCACTTAAGAACAAAAATATTTTAGTAATTTCAATACTAAATCAGCTACATGGAGCTGACTGGTCAGGTTAAATTTGATCACTGTTCAAAGGGAGAGGTGATTTCAGATACACATTTCTCCTTATGCTTCCACATTACTTATTCTCTGTAGTGAAAGTGCAATAATTATCACGGTATAAAGAACTTTCATGAGCATTCAGGAAACCGGTGACAGAACTTAAGAGAGGATTTGATTTATAAAAACAAAAATCTATCAATATAATTACCCAAGTACTTCATATTTGTAATCTAAATTCAGTGACTAAATCATAGAGAATGTACACTTATTGTACACAAATATGACATAATATAATATTGCACATTAACTTCAATAAAAGAAAATAACAATAATTTATTCATAACAATATTTTCTTGAGACATAAGAGATTAAATGACTTGTTTCATTCTTATTTCTGACTGATTAATTTAACATAAAAATAATATTCATGATCAATCAGAAATATGTGCATCGCAGAAATAAACGTTTCAATCAGAAACATAATGCAGAATGCGGGATAACACAATAGTACAATTTTATATATACAAATGTACACACTTTTATTACTCTGAGTCTAATACAATAAAATATTCCTACAAACCCAAAGAAAGAAGAAATAAATTGCAATGATATTTGTCACATAGATCACTTCATTTCACAATTTTCATGATACTTTTTCTGCCTCAATGAAAATCCAAATAATGGAATTAATTGTAAACACGAAGGGGTTCTAGTGGTGATCAGTTGAAAGGACTTGCTTATTTACTCATGAATGTTTCTGGCAGTGAAGATGTTAAACTGGGAAAGCATAAGAAGATTCTTCACAGAATCATGGCACTGCACTTTTACTATGTATTATTGAGTAATAAAATAACCAACTATTTCATCTCATCCAAAGTCCTTCACCCTCCTGGCACCTATCAAAACTAAACTATTTTTCAAATGAAAATACATATTTATCTTCACAAGGAATCATTCACATTACATCACTCGCTAGCAGGCTTGATAAAACAGTTATTGAAGAAGGGAATGAACATCTTTATTCATTGAACAGAGAAGAATTCTCATGAGTTGAAGTAATTAACAAGAGCTTACGTTAATATGATGAAATAATACAAGAAGTTTCTTTTCAAGTAATGCTTGGTGACTGTGCCAACATATGTTCATGATGAAAGTTACAATGATTAAATCTCTTAAATTCAAGGTCGTTTTTTTATGTAAACAAGTCCTGTAACTAAAATTTTAATCCTTACAAATTAAATAACAAAATATAAAATTCAGAGTAAAGTTCCATCATTGCACCTCCTTAGGGTTGAATAATATTACCACATGGTGACATGAAGAGAGAAAAAGAATAACGACAGAAAATTCAGTTGGCGAGATGCTTTCACACACTCATTTGTTCTAGAACAACACTGCGTTATTGTTAGCTTATTTTGAGGCGCTTGGTAGTTGTGAGGTGTCCAACTTCATTCCCAGATACAAGGAGTGTTCCAGGATTTAATTTGTTGCCCACTGCAACAGTTCCTCCCATAGCCAATGACACACCACCATTGCATGGCCCTGCTTGCAAGGGGAAGCCACTCACACTGGACGGATTATTAGTATATTTCTGTGAAAAGAAGAATAAAAAAGTTTTTTTGTTTCATAAATATGTGCAGCAACTATAACCTTCTCCTTAATAAGTACAACCACATACAATCAATACAATTTTTACTTCTTAGATGCTTTTAATAAATATTCTTTAGAATGTATTTATTTTTTGAGATTGGTGTCATGCATTTTATGTTGTAATAGTTACTGAGCTATATTGTATAACTAATATTAAAACAGCAGTTGTTTAAATCATTAAAAATATTCATTGATCACAAAAAAGAGCCAAATTTTCTTCTGTGAATACTTCTGAATATGATTGTTTTCAATTCAAAAGTATTTATCTTCAGAGATGAGGGAAATCATGACATGTTATGTTTTGTTCAATGAAAAAGGTGGACTTAATTTAAATAGCCTTATAGAGATAGTAATATTTATTCCATTACAAAATAGTTCACGATTTTCTCCAAATTAATATGGAATATATGTTCTAGGTGCTAATTAACAACGTAATAGCAGATTTCCAAATAGTGGGTAATAGGATGTCCCTTCAGTACATGTTGCAAGTTCAAATAAGCAAGTCGAATGTATCCACCATGATGTAAGACGGTGAACAAATTATTTGGGACAATGTGAGCTGATTATACAAAGTATTATCACAGTACAGCTATTGTAAATAATCCCTTTTAACCAATTTAGGAAACAATGTAGTGTCAAAAACAAAGCTTCCCAGAAAAATATTGTATGCCTTTAAAAAATAAAATGTCAATAACACTTGCATTTAAAATTGAAGACTGGAATTCTCAAAGGTATCAAGTGACAAATTTCTTGATTAATGAAAAAAACAAGATTTAATTAATATCTTCAGAGATTTTTGCATAAATAGCAAAGGTATTGTGATGTAACGATTACACTGAAGAACAATGAAGGCATTGCCATTTCTTCAAGAATCCCTAAAAATAATGAATTAAATTTTATAAGTGTGGTCATAAATACTGTTACACTTTTTCGCTGCAAAATGCAAACTTCTATAGACATCATATTGCTACAAATTGGCCAGTATCTTTCATAGGAGTAAATTTTTACTACCAAAGTTTTTTGTTGTATCTGCCATTGTGTTAAGTGGAATAAGGAAATTATGAAAAAAAGTGTCATGATAACACTGCATTAGTTGAAAAGTCATTCATATTCAATATTCTCAATAACCACAACAGAATGATTGTGAATCAAACAATTGAATGTTCTGGTAAGAGTGACTGTATCTGACTGCCCACGTTCAGGTCATCCACAATTTGTTAGAACATCACATCTCATAAAGGCTGTGCAAGAAAGAATTACAAGGACATTGTATCTGAAAATTAATATAAATGGCAAAATAAATGTGCAATTGGAAAGGTACAATGCCAAGGATGTTAAGAAGTGTCCTTAGATTGAAAGAACTTCATTACAGCACTGACAAAGAGTACTAACTAATAGCAAAACTGAAGAAGCAAAGCTCATGAAATGCTTAGCCTTTGCATTATAAACTTCTCTTTTCTGATGAGGTTTTAACAATTGATCATTTAAATAATCAAAATGATTGTGCTTATGTACTAGAAGCAATTACAGCTCATCAAATGGCTTAAAAATTGAAAGAATTCAACAATGGACATCACTAATGGTTTGTTTCATGGGGTAGTTGGGAGGGGGGTCAACAGGATTCTGCTCCAGAGCATGTACGACCAAGACAAGATTTCTGAACACATGTTACAGTGATTTTTTTTTCTGTTGCTGTCTGAGCATCTGACTATCCTGATCTGAATTTTTTGATTTAACAATTATCATTGTTTGAGGAAAGGTTCAGCAAAGAGACATCGCAAAGAGTCAAGACAGTTTTGTCATTGCCAATTTTCTCGTGTGTGCTGCTATCAATGAATCACCAGAAAAGACTGAAGGCCTTCATTTAAGAAAAAAGTTTTGCATAGTTTGTATAAATCTATTAGAGTTAATATTTGTTCAATGTTCTTGCTACTTATAATTAGTATCTCTTTTTTCTCACCTATATTCCAGATATTGTAATCATAATGTATTACAATATTTATGATAATTTTTCTCATGTATCTTAAGTTCTGCTCACCTTTGGATTCCAGTCCTCATTTATTATCTGGTATGACTCGGAGAAATATATTCCCACAATACCCCAATTAGTAAACAAAAGCTCCTTCTATTATTTTTTTCACACAAAAATATTTCAATTACGAAGTTAGTCAATCATTGTTTATTCTACCATATACTTTATAATCTAGAGAGAAAGAGAAATTATATAATCCACATATCAAGCTTCTGTAATAATTTTTGTTATCATTTTTATTGTTGTTGACTAGCATACAGGATGGTGAAATTAAGCTGACAAAATAAGGTAAACACTATATTTAGGTTCTGAGTTGGGGAAAGGAATATTTAAAAAATTCTTATTTGATTAGAGTGCTACAGATACTAATAAAGGATTTCTGCAAATTTTTAAGTGAGAAGATGTCTATTTACTGCCTTTTACAAAGAATAAATGCAAAATGGATTAATAAATCTCAAAACCAAAAAACAACACCACACCAGAGTTCAGGAGGGACTCTACTGATATTATTGCTTTTGAGCACAATTAACAAGCACAAACTGATACTTTTAGGCTCTCAAAATAGTTACTGTCTGAAGCACACACACAAAAGTTCTAAATACCAAAAAAAAAACAAAAACAAACAAACAGAATTTAAAGAAAAGAAAGAAGAAGAAGAAGAAGAAGAAGAAGAAAAAAAAAAGAAAACGGGGGTGGGTGGGGGGTGGTGAATGAAACAGGTTATCCAAGGGAAAGGAAAGAAAAGGAAAGGACAATGAGAGTGAATGAGATGTATTCAATGTTTATTTTATTTTCCCTCCCCACTTATTCTGTACGTAGTCTACACAATTTGTACAAATGCACACTGTTAATTATATTTACAAATTTTTTTCTGGAAAATCACGGAAGCTCTGAAACAAATTTACACATGCATTTGTCAGTTGTTGTAAATTAATATGGAAAGGAAACCCTTTCTTAACAATTAAATGGGCAGAATTTTCATCAGATTTAAACTTCCCTTTTTACGAATGTTCTCTCCTCAAAATTTTCCTTTATAATTATTCATATATCTTTATTACACTACTGAGCAAATTATGAGTTTCTACGTGTCTCTCTGCTTACCTCTCCTACATTTTCTATTCCATTATCACCACTTCATTAACTCCAGGCATCATTGGAAACACTGAGTTATGATGCAACATCTGAAATTTGAATTATTTTTATAGCACAACGACAATAATAATGACATTTATGGTGGTGATTGAGAGTAATAATCCCAACAGGGCTGAAGACTATAGCAACAAACACGAAAGTGAGATAAACAGTCATGTTGGAATTGATGTATTAAAAGAATTCATCAAATAGTTCCAAGGGTTTCATTTATATATAAAAATATTAGAACAGAAACATTTGCAGAATTGTATTATGAGTATATAAGAGTATGCATGTTGAGGCATACAGTTTGTCTTATTCAGTTCATCTCAGGTTGAGCCTAGCTGGTCAGGATTTATGTTTTTATAATGCCATTTCGGTTAATAAATAATAAACTGTGAATATATCACGTGCATATACAATAAGTAATTATATTAGTGGACATATTCTCTGCACGCACCACGAATTCGCCGAGTGATTCAAACCCATTATTTGAATATTTTGAATGGGTTGGTAATGAGAGAATCTCAAACGAATAGCATTCTCATGTGAAACGCAATGTGAAACAAATTATTGCCTAAATTTTGTTACATGAAGCGTTGATCGAAGGAGCCACATGGACTGTCGATTTGTCACCCGGTAAGTGCAAATCTTTGTTTTGCAAGAGACAGAAATGTAAAAATTCACATTGATAGGAGCATGCATTCTACATCCAAAAACAGAAAAGGATGATAAAGTTCACAACTCAATTACAGGAACATTGTTAACAATGCAAATTTCAAATGTATTCTGTTAAAGAATCAGAGACCATGAACAAAAGTGAGGCAGGAGGAAAATCTGACCACACAAAAGGGGAATGTTCTTAGGTGGAATTAGATGAAAGAACACAAATGCAAATTCAACTCATAAAAGTTTCAGAGGTCTAGAACGTCAGGGGACATTGCACACAGGACCAAAAAGAAAGAAACGTGGGAAGATAAATAGGGTCGTGAAAAAATTCATGATAATGATGATTTTTAAAGAACAAGAAAATGATAACCGAGGTAATAAGTTTTGACATTCTCATCAATAAGGCAATATTCTAGTCAATAGACAATTTTCAATTTTATTTTGACTTAATAGTAAGAATTGGTTAAAAATTTAATAAATTCTCAAGAGACCTCTTTAAAATTTAAGGGATCATCGAATATTCCAAGTCACAGTATAAAGGTAAATCTTAAAAACTTTTCAAACAAGAATATGAATGTGTCCAAAAGAAATAAACTCTGAGCACCCCTAATAAAACTAAACAGATGTACAAAGGCAAGTGAGGAGAGATGCAGGACCATAGGAAGAAAAAGGTAGGGTAGGACAGAGATATACATTTGTGGAAAACAAGTTCATAAGGAAGTCAATCAAATCAATACAAAACACAATAATCACAAGGGAACACAGATGAGATCTTGAAATGAAACCTGTCTAGTCTTGGGATTTGAGATAATCTTTTGATAAATTGGTACGAAACAAAAGAAAAATAAATGTCAAAGATTAATATAGACTTAATTTTTATTCAATTACCTATATTTCATGCAAAATTACACAAAAACTACTTTCTTTTGACCCTTTTCTGAAGAATACATTTCATTAAAGAAAACAATTGTGCAATTGTGGGAAGTCATTGAAAAAGTTTGAACTTTCACCATTTTAGAAAATTTGGAGTTCAACAAAAACAGTACATACACTTTTTTTATAAGAGAACTTTGATGATCTGAGGAAAAAAATAATAGAAAATTTGGAAC